CGAAATTGCGTACACCGCCCCTGATTGATCGTGTGGTTCTACATAGTTCTTGCCTTTGAACAAAATTGACTGCAGTCTTGTTGCAGATTTATAGACAATGGTAACACCCAGAGCATGAAGGATGCGATCGACAGCTTCTGATACCCCACGTATGTACGGTAATAAGAGTTTCGTTTTCTTCTCTTCATCCTTCGATTTTCTTCTTCCTCTAAGGCATGATTGGACGAAACTTCTGGGGAATCCATTTGTGTGGAATTGATGGAACAGATGCATTCGTTCCTGATGCCGAAGTTCCTTTGTGCTGCAATGTGTGTCTCTACGGCGGAATAAAGTGTACACAGCTCCTTAGGTGACACGTGGGGTGATTGCTGTCGTAGTTCAGCACCTGGTCGGTTGTGGATTTCCTGTACACAGTGGTTTCTGTGTTTCCGTCTGGTTTTCTTATGACGAAGACGTCAAAGAACGGGAGCTCTATATATTTTTCCTCCTCGCTGGCATAACCTTGTTTAGGGCTTCATGGACTTGCCTGATTCTTGTTGCCGGTAGCACCACATAGGTGTCGTCCACATATCGAATCCAGAGGCAAGGGTGGTATTCTTCAAAAATGCATTGGCTTCAAATTGTTTCATCATGCATCAGCTAGTAGGCCGGACAGTGGTGATCCCATTGGGGTTCCTTTCACCTGTCGATATATCGTCGTCAAACTGCAGGTCTGTTTCCACGCGGAGTTCAAACAGCTCCATGATGTCAGTCACTAACAGTGGTATTGTTTCTGGAAGACGAAGATCATCGCCTATCAGGTTCCGTATGCTCTCCGGAGGTAGTTGTGTCGATATGTTTGTGAACAGATGTGCGACATCGAAGGGCACTTGTTTCTTCCGGTTTCAGCGTTAATCATCTTATTCGGTCTAGGAAAGAGACCGAGTGTTTTATACCGTTATCTTCTGGAATAAATGGAGGAGATACTTAACCAACTAGTATATATATATATATATATGTATATATATATATATATATATATATATATATATATATATA